TGGCAGAAGGCTTTTTGGGAAGCATGAGGAGACACGATGCTGTGTCGGGACACAGTGAGACAAGGGACGTTGCTGAAATGGCAGGCTGAGGATGAGGAGGGTGGTGGCGAGGCCGATGACAGCGTGGCATCCTAGGCTTGCAGCGAAGGGAAATAAGGCTCAAGAGGCTCAACAGGGGCTGCTTAAAACACTGCAGGAGGGCTGGGAGGTGCCTGAGGCAGCAGGGATGCTGGATTTGGCAGCCATCAGAAGAGGGATAATGTCTGTGAGTGCTGAAAGGCTCCAGAGGAGAGAGTGTTATCTGGCACGGAGACAGTGAGGTCATAGGCCAAAACCCTGGGAAGGCTGCTGGGAGGGATCGCTTTGTCTGCAGCAGGAAACAGCAGGTTAGGAAAAATAAAATATAATAAAAATAACCCCACAAAACAACAGAATGCTAAGGTGCAAAGTGGAGTCAAAAGGAAACCAGGAAGGAGGCACGGTCAAAGTACGGGGATTTTCCCAGTCTGGCGTGCTTTTCCAGACCTGGGTGCACAGGGTTGGCTGGCAGTTTGCAACTCAGCTCCCTTTTCTAGCCCAAAGAAAGGTGATCGCCCCAAACCCCCATCCCTGGTTTAGCAGGCGGGAGGGAGGCGCTTGGCTGGCACCAACTACAGGATCGGGAAAAGCCCCGGGACCTGGCGAGGGCTCGCAGACCTCTGGCGCTGCTGTGGGTTCGCGCCGGCGCGGCCTCGGCAGCATTATCTCTAGGAACAAACGGCAGTGACATTAAATATAAATGTAAAAGGACTCTCTGTCCGAGTCCATTACTGGTTTGCAGCAAGCACCGCGCTGATGGCTGTAATGAAATTATGGAGAGAGAAAGAGTCTGGGAGGCGGCTTCCCATCCTGCAGCGGCGAAGGTCAAGGTAATGGCTGGCAGTGTAGGGTGACGGTTCGGGCACAGGGCGAGGGTTCGGCTACCATGGCCTGTGTGATCTGTGCCACTTCAAAACCCACAGCCGGAGTGAGGAAGGATGCAGTGGTGGCGGATGCCTTCAGCTGGAGAAGGGCCGTTGTGCAAATGGGGCGTTTTGTGTGTTTTGCTGTAATTCTGCAGCCGTCGGCGTGGCTGTAGTGGCCACGGCCACCAGATTGCAGCATCCTGAGGCCGCCTGCGGGCCGGGCAGCCTGGCTTTCCCGTGACGCCCTTGTTTTGCAGGAAGCGGCAGCGCCGGGAGCCCGGGGCTCCCCTCCGGGGTGGGCTGGCGCCAGACGGGGACGGGGGCAGCTCCTCGTGCAGAGCTTTAGGACAACATCGCTGCTCGCCTGGTGCCGTCTGCGAGAGCGCAGTCGAGGAGGAGTTGGTAAAAATAGAAACAAAACGTAAAAGATGGTGAAATAGCTCTCAAAATGTCTGTAGGGGATGCCAAGAGCGGTGAATGTGGAAGCACAGGAAGCGTAAGCAGCAAAATGTGGAAAAGCCCTGCTCGTCTGCACGGGGCTGTCCCTCCAGTCGCTGTATTCCCTAGGAGATGCTCTGAAATGCTGATTGTTAGTCCAAATGGATGAGAATTGGCCAAATGGACAGGAACACTGCTTTTCCCAGCTCTGCCGGCTGTCACTGGGTATTTCTTTCCCACTTTCCCAATGGGGCAGGGGAATTTCCTGCATCTCTGAGCTGCATCTGGCCAGAAAGGTTGCTGGTGCAGGTATAACACGCATCAGTATAAGCTGTGGCTCTGGTCATCTGATGTAAGCTCGTGTGCACTGGGCTCCAGGCTCTTTGGATGCTTGGAGAAGAGGTTTTTTTTCCCAAAAAGTTTTTTAGAAACTTAGTCTTGTGTTCTCTGACTGGTACTGGAGTTGCACACCCGTTTTTGGAGCCCATCGCTGCGTCAGGGCATGACCCGTTCCCAAACCGCAGACTCATCTCTCGTGATCCCGTGACCAAGGTGTTGCTGCTGGAGCGGGGGCGAGAAGGCGATGTCATGGGAGGGGAAAACTTCAAAGGTTGGGGAGGGCCGAGGAGCGCGGACACTGCCGAGGGCAGCGATGGGTGTCGAGCTTCCTCGTGAGTCACCGCGGCAGTTTCACCGGGAGCACCAGGATGCAGAGTGTGATCCGGGGCTGACTCCGTCAAGGGAGGTCTGGTAAATGAGCAGTCAGAAATGTCCCAGGAGAAGTGATCAGGTGCCCCCTGGCTCTGCAGGGAGCCAGGGAGAGGTGCAGGAAGCTTGGCTGAGCGCGGAGGAGGCGCAGGTGCCCACGGCTTTGTGGTTTAATGATTCGGAGATCCGGGTGTAAGTCATTGCCAGCGCAGTGTGGGGCAGGGACGAATTGGGGTCTGGCAGTGAGTGAGGGTCAGGGCTTGAGGGTTTTGTGTGGTTTGAGAGTGCTCTGGAGCGGTTTGGGCAAACAAATGGGGGCAAATCACGGAGAAGAAGTTTCTCAAGGATTATTAAACCAGTGCAACCATAGCAGGGAATTTCCCCATTGCCAGAGCTGGGAGGACAGCACCGTGTGTGTGCTGGGAACAGTCGCAGCAGATGCCGCCTTGGAGATGTGGTACAGCGAGATTTTTGGGGTGATTTGGTGGTTGTTTCTGTGCTTCTCTGAATCCTGAAGTTGCAACACCCTTTCTCTGTCCTGCCCGGTGTCCATCTCAGTGGAGCCAGCTCCACCGCTGCAGACAGCCCCAGGGGTGCTGGACCCAAGGCAGAGACAGCAGCGGCTCCTGGTGCTGAGCGCTGATGTCAGGGCGCTGGGGTTACTGCCAAAACAGTGAGAGGAGTGTACTCTGTGAGCCAAAAAAGGGCTAATTCGATGGAGAGAGACTTGTGTGTCCAGTCTCCTGCTTTATTTAATCTGATTTGCCTGGGCTGCAGGGCAGTACAGCGAGGGATCTGCGTAAAACTTCCAGGCACCGAGATGCTGTAGCAGCGAAAATCCTGTCTGCTGCCAGGGGTGAGGTGTGAGGGAAGGCAGAGAGATTGGGGATGTGCACAGAGGTTTGGACACCACAGGTAAACGTGTTTTCTGTGCCCACCATGCATGCGGTGTAATTTCCCTGCCTCAAACCCTTCAGAGCAGTTTGCAAGTGAAATATCGACTGGCAGGTGTTGTTTGTGAAATGCCTTGCCAGACAGCATGGGGCTGGGAGCTCATTTGGATAAACAGGTGAGGAAAAAACCCAACAGCCGCCCATGCAGCCAAGTGTGGAAGACCAAAAATGCCCTGGGCACTGACGGTTGCAGGTTCAGAAGCGCTCGGGTAGGACGGGCCGCGGAGCTGCCATGGCTCTTGGGATGTGGGCAAGGACTGGGTGCAGTGTTTGTATTTGCTGGCTTGGACCAAATTAAAGCCAGGGCAGGAGATGGCATCCCCAGGGGGCAGGGATGCAGGGCCAGGCTCAGCTCTGAGCTGTGCCACAGGGAATGGTGGGCTTGCCCCTGCCTGCGGGCAGCTCCCATCAGGCAGGGCTCAGCAGCTCACGTTCACCCAATAAACCTCAGACAGGCCACAAGAGCCGAGACTTTGCCCTGCCCAGATCCAGCAAATGCCAACAACCCTGACGTGGGGCCAGGGCTGCATCTGCTGGGGCTGGGACATCCCTCAGTGAGCCCTGAAGCTCCTCTGTGGATTTTTCTTCTCACGTGTGAGTCTTCCTGCAAGGGGCTGGAGCTGGTCTGTGCTCTGGCAATGCTGCTTTGTGCTGGCCCTTGACCCCATGGGATAGGCTTGCGCCGGAGCTAAACACATAAACGCAGCAGCAGCGCGTTGAAGGGACAACTTCCAGCACAAACAAACATTGAGGATAGGGGAATGCATACCCTGGCACGTTTGCTGGTTTTGGCACACCTGTAAACCTGGGAGTCTGTGAAGGAGGTGGCTGCAAGGCTCGGGGGGGGCAGCGGGGGAGCTTTGCTGCAGGGATCGGCGCTGCTCACCCGCAGTTTGCAGGAAGGGGTTGTGCTCACAGCTGCCATCTTCACAAGCTGGGATCGGGGAGGTGAGCGGCCAGGGGCCACACTGCTGCGTGCTTGATTTTGGAAAGCAAGGGCATCTCGTCCTGGCAACTCAGAAGATGCAGAGGTTTGATGGAGGCAGTGGAGAAGGACTTCCCACCCGTGTCTCGGCTGCTTGGGAACGGCCCCGATGCTGCCACGGTCAACAGGACATGGCCAGGGGACTCGCCACCAGCCTGTTTGCTCTGGGGCAAGCGCTGGTCAGGAGCAAGCAGGGGCTGTCCAAAGATGGGATTTTGGAGCAGCCCTTGCAGGCAGCGGCTGGGAAGCCGTGGGGGTGGCGTGGCTGGGAGAGCGGAGGTTTTGCTTTCTTTTCTCCATGCAGGAGGCGTTGCAGGGCAGGCAGCCAGCACTGCCAGCAGCCCTGCGCCAGCACGAACCGGGGGAAGAGAAGTTGTGCAGCGAGGGGGTTGTTCCTGGTCAGTTTACACTGGTGGCAGATGTTTATCCAGGGCAGCGCAGCTCCGCAACGCATGGAGCCTTTCTCTAAGCAGTGAAATTTATTTTG